TATGGCTGAATGAAACCCCACCTTGTATATACACAATTTTTTACCTATTTCATCTGTTGGTTGATTCTATTTCTTGGCTATTATGAATAGTGCTGCAGTATACATGAGTGTGCAAGTATCTATATTGTATGCTATTTACATCCCTTCTGGTATATACTCAGGAGTGGAATAGCAGGATCATATGTTAGTTCTGATTTTAGTTTTTTGAGGAACCTCCATACTGGTTTTCATGGTAGCTGGACTAATTTACATTCCCACCAATAGTGATTAAGGGTTCCTTTTTCTCCTGTATTCTTGCAGCATTGGTTGTTGTTTCTTGATGATAGCTATTACGTCTGGAGAGAGATGGAATCTCAATATAGCTTTGACTTGCATTTTTTAGATGACCAAAGTTGTTTAGCATTTTTCATGTATTTATTGGCCATTCATACGTCTTTTGAGATCTGTTCAATTTATTTGCCCATTTATTGATTGGATTATTTAGCTTTTTGTAGTTTAATTATTTTGAGCTCCTTCTATATTCTGGATATTAATCCTTTATTCATTGAATACTGGCAAAGATATTTCTCTCATTCTGTAGGCTGTCTCTTCCCTTTGGCCATTGTTTCTTTTACTCTGCAGAAGCTTTTTTATTTGATGCAATCCCATTTGTCAATTCTTATTCTTATTTTCTGAGTTATTGGAGTCCTATTCAAAAGCCATTGCCTATGCCTGTATCTCGAAGAGTTTTCTCATAAGAGTTTCAAATTTCAGGTCTTTCATTAAGATCCTTGATCCATTTTGAATTGATTTTTTGCACATGGTGAGGGATAGGAGTTTAGTTTTGGTCTTCTACATGTGAATATTTGTTTTCTCAGCACCATTTGTTGAAGAGGCTAGCTTTATTTCTGGATCTTCTATTCCATTGACCTATGTGTCTTTTTTTGTGCCAGTACTATGCTGTTTTTGTTATTATGAATCCATAGTATAATTTGAAATCAAGCATTGTGGTGTGATACCTCCATTATTCCTCTTTTTGCTCAGGATTGCTTTGGGTATTTAGGGTTCTTTTGTGCTTCCATTTGAATTTTAGGATCGTATTTTCTATTTCTATGAAGAATTTCATTGGGATTTTGATGGGGATAGTATTGAATCACTTTCAGGTAATGGACCCTTTTCACAATGTTAATTCTACTGGTCCATGAACATGGAGGTTTTCATCTTTAGTGTCTTCTTTGATTTCTTTCTGTGATGTTTGATAGTTTTCATTGTAGAGGTCTTTCATCTCCTTGGTTAGGTTTAACCCTAGGTATTTTATTTTTTGAGGGTGTTGTAAATGGAATTGTTTTCACTATAGAAAAGCCATTCATTTTTGTATGTTGATTTTTATATCCTGTTACTTCATTGAAAGTATTCCTCAGAACTAAGAGTTTTCTGGTGGAGCTTTTAGGGTCTTTTATGTATGTCATATCATCTATATATAGGGATAATTTGAATTGTTCCTTTCCTATTTATATACTTTTTATTTCTTTTTCTTGCCTTATGCTCTGGCTAAGAATTCAAGCACTGTATTGAGTAAGAGTGGAGAGAGTGGACACCCTTATCTTGTCCCTAATCTTAGAGGAAATGCTTTTAGTTTTTTCTCATTCAGTATAATATTGGCTATATAAGTTTGTCATATGTCGCCTTTATTATATTACAGTATATCTCCTTTATTCCTAGTTTATTCAGGACTTTTATCATGAAGGGATATTGAATTTTATCAAAGGCTTTTTCTGAATCTGTTGAGATGAACATTTGATTTTTGTCCATGATTCTGTGTATTGCTATGTTACATTTATTGATTTACATAAGCTGGATCATCTTGTATCCAGGAATGAAGCCAATTTGATCATGATACATACTTTTTTAATGTATTACTGAATTTGAAGTATCTTATTGAGGATTTTTGTGTCTATATTCATATTTTGTGTCTATAGTAGTCTTTTGTTGTTGCTGTGCCCTCATCCTAAACTCATAGAATGAATTTAGAAGCATTACTTCCCTTTCTATGTATTTTATGGAATAGTTTGAGGAGGTACCATCTTTTAAAGCCCAGTTCTCCCATGGGTATAATACATGCTCTTATGGAGGGGACAGCAGGAAGAGTTGATCAGTAAAAGCCACAGCAAACATCTGTCTCACTTATCACCTTCAACCAGCACATGCTACCTCACTTGGTCCACATAATAACTTTAAGAAGTGTGGGGTAAGATTAGCCTCATTCTGTAGATAAGGAAATTGGGAGGAGAGGTTAAGTGGCTTGCATAATGTCTAACTTCCTGTCAGAGGCAGAGCCCAAATCAAATGCTGTTTCCACACCCTGCAGAGACACCACAGAAGGGCAAAGGCAGACACAGTAGATAACAGAGCTGTTCACTTCTTTCCTAAGAAAGCATTATTTTAAATTCCTTTTAAACTTGGCAAGGATTCTATTATTAGAAAGCCCTGATTTCTGAGCTGCCGGGCAAGGTGTGGACACTTTCATGAAACAGATGGCATGAGATGGAGTGGGAGGGGTCAAGGAGGATTCAACCAGCTTGACCCTCCCAGTGAAGGTTTTGTGTTCCTAGAGGCAGCATAGCAGAGGGAAGGGAGATCCAGACTGCCTTGGTTTGAACCTTGGCCCTGCCACTAATAGCATGTATAAACTTGAGTGAGCTGCATGGCCACGCTATGCCTCAGTTTCCCTAACTGAAATAGCTCTGTAACAGTACCCACTTCGTAGCATTATTGCAAGAGTTACATAAGTCAACATTAGGAAAGTTCTTAGACAGTTCTCAGTGCATAATAAATGCCATGGGGAATTTGTTAAATGCATTTTCAGCAGGCTGTGCACTCCTGCTGCAGGTGCTCACAACGGCAACTTTTTGAAGCTTTAAAACAAGGTTATGATATCCTAGCTTCCCATTTCCCTGAAATTTGTTGCCACCATCCCTTGTACCATATCTTTATGAACTCTACTTTATCCCAGTTCTTCCCCTACTCTTTCCTGATTTTGTTTGGCCATCCCTATTGACTGTTCAAGCCCCTGGTAGCTAGCTCACTTCCCCCACCTCCACATGGTTCTGTAGCTAGCCAACTGTTTCTGTAGCATATAAAGTAGCTTAGAGCCTATGGAATGTTTTAAATGTACCTGGGAGTCATACTAAAATTCTTTCAGTAGGGGGAGCTCAAAGAATAGCTTAAAATTCAATGAACCTGCTTTAGCAAATCTGAGAAAATTAAAAGAAAGAAACAAAGTCATTCCATGACTGTATGATTTTATTATTAATCAGAAAATAAGAAGAGGTAAATTTAAAGCAATACAAGTAGACAGTGTTAATAATTGGTTGCTTTTTCTATAGTGGAAGGTGATTTACTTAGATTTCTATCTCTAGGGAAATACAAGTAAAGATTTTCGTATGTTTAAGATGGTAATGTACTACAAAAGTTGAGTGGTTCAGTTGTATTCCCATTGGATTTTTTGTGGGTTTTTTGTGTAAGATAAATTCAGAATAATGTGCTTCATCTATTCAGACTCATAAATAATAACAACAATAGTCAGGGATGTCAGGCTCAATGAAATGCTACAAAACTTTGGTCAAATTACAGTGAGATGATGTGTGAACAGGCTTTTATTTATAATGTGCTAATTTTTAATATGGAAATTTAGAAAACCTTTATGAGGAATAATGTCTTCCACTTATTTGTTTCACTAGAATATCCTCAAACCCAAAAGCTCTGCTCGTGAAACATCTTTAGCAGGAAAGATGTGCCTGGGCTCTGCCTTCAGGAGCAAGTCTCCTGTGGGAAGAAAACTTAGCTAATTTTTAGTGGGACAACAATATTTGGTAAATGATTTATAAGAGACAATTAAGGAAATGAAGAATTATTAGAGGGGAAAATGGCAGTACATTAAGCCTTTTGTGATGTATCTTTGTGGTTTGTGGGGGTGTGATAGATTGGATGTCATTGAACACTGGATTTACAATGCGTCCAATGATACATTATTTAAATATTATATTATTTATTCTAAATAATTCAAAGATATTTCTCATAGGAACTGGGTCTATAAAGCCAGGATATTGGATCTGTACAAACTGTATCAGAAATAAGCCTCCCAGATGTATAATACATCATGTAGGTTTTCTTACATATGCAGTATCTCTGAACAAGGAGCATTGGGCATTCCCCTCCTGATCTCTTGCAGGAAAATAAATGCAATATTTATCCATCATATCACTTGACAAAGGTCACATTTTCAGTCACTGTCAGACCATGTACTCAAACCTACCTTTCCTATTTCCAAATTACAGATCATACACAGAGGTTGTACATACAATGAACAGATCAATAGGTGATCTCTAAGGTCATTTCCAATCCAGGATTTGACCAGTCTATCATCTACTGACTCAAATGTGAATGCTCAGACTGCATCACTTTTTTCCTTTATCCCATTCATGCAGTGAAATATGAACCTTGAAGAGCAAGGTAACTGATACCACAAAGTAATAGGACTGTTTTTCACCTGTGATTTTCACATAATGACATGATTTTCAAGCCTTACCCTATATCCATGGGAAATTCAGTGATTCTTAACATATTTTACCAGAATGAAGGACTTATTACAGAAATTATGGCACATCTATGAAATGCAAAACAATGCAACAAATTTAAATGTGTTCTCTAAGTGTAAAGTTATAGAAAGTTGTTCATGTGAAACAAAAGGTTATGACACAATCAACATAGGTGATATATTTTAAAGTAATATATACTTAAATATAAGACTGGAATGATGTGTATCAAAAGCTTAATAATTGTTTTCTTTGGAAGATATGCTATTTTTACTTTCTCTTTCTTTTATAAATGTTGTCTATAATTATCAAATATAATTAGAGAAACATGGATTTGATTTTATATAAAAGTAAGCAATTTAAGAGCTTTGTAAAAAATATTATGGTTATTTTTTGGAAAAATTCTGTAGAAGAAATATTTCCTACCTCATTTCCTTTACCCCCAGCACTTGACTTCATTTCCTTTGGTTGCTTTGTAAAAGAAACAACAGTGTTTAGATGGAGATGTACTATCAGGTACACATCAAGTCAGTCCTATATATTGTCATCTCTTTCTTGGCCACAATTTTGGCTTCTAGAACATTAATTCAGATGTCTTCTAACTCATCAAAATTTGTCCTAGCTACATAGATTCAACAAAAATGAACACTTAAAACCAAACAAAACTAAAAGTGGTATAAATTTGTATATGCAGATATCTTTCTGTTAACAAAATTTTCTCTTTTAGAAAATAGACCTTTGGATGCTGATTCAGTGGTACCCCAACATTCAGATAAGGCACTTGCTAAACACTAATAAACCAGAAGAAAAATGTGTTTCTGGCAAGAAAAGCAACAGGACTTGGGGTATCTAAGAACTGTGCAAAGAATTAGAAGACAGGAAGAGAACACTAGGTCATGAGGAAGTGGTGAACACAAGAAGCAACAGGAAGAGGCCGGGACAGAGCTTTCTAGACATGCCAAGGCAAAGTGCAACTGCAGTGCCCAGGAACATCCTATTTGCCCAAGTTATTCTCCTAAAGTTAAAGTGCTTTCAGCCACACAAGTTGTTACTGGGTGTTGTTCACTGGGGAAATTTTAAAAATGAAACTGGGAATGTCCATTTTAAGACAGATCATCTCTATCATGGTCATCAGGGTATATTAACTAGCTGCTACATATACTTATGTAGTACATCACTATGGTTAAAAACTCAGACTGAGTTAGGTTCAGTGTTGTTTCTATTGTTTGAATTCCTCAATGATGGCATGTCTTATCTCTCACTGTTATCCTTGGGCATGGGAAGGGAGAAGCCTGTGAAATTTTTCTGCCAAACTTACCAAATGTCTAAATTCTACTGAAAGACTCCCATTGGAAGATTCTTCAATGGACATGGCTTTGACATGAGTTCCACAAAGGACAAACCTTCGATTGCTAGAGAGAAAATCTTACTTATTTACATGGTCTTAGGTCTTACTATTTTTTGAAAGTAGTAAAACTATTCTACAAAGTAAATATCTTACCTTAGAGTTGAAACGTTCCTGTCAAAACAAGAAGAGCATTTGAAATGAGCTGTTTAATAGACCTAGTAAAAACTTTTTAGGGTACTTTAAAGGATAGGATATAGAATTTCATTTTGAGTCTTTATGGTTCATTTTTAATAGTTAATCTTCCTTGGGTTCTGTTAAATGCTTGAACTTCAAAATTGAATGTTTGAAATACAATTGATATGTAAAGTTAGAGAAGTAAGTTTAAAAGTGTAAAATTGTTGTACGAAATAAAAGGCAGTTCATTAAAGAATCTTACATTGTCTCATTTTGAAATGAAATTAGAAAACTTACTTGTCAATTGAAGCTTTAACCTTTACCTGATAGTTTAGCTCTGGCAATTTTATTAGAAGCCTAGAAAGAAATATTAATAAAGAATCAAAGATAAAAATTAAAAGTGTCAAAAGCTTTTTTATATTTAAGGAATTAAATATATTTATGATATAAAAATAAAACTTACATTCTCTCTAGTTACATGCTATGCTTTTTAAAATGTATAATTCCTCTTTAGTTTGCCCTGTTATAATGCTGACATACCAACCACTTAATATCATCAACAAACATTTGGAAAGTGTTTGCATAATCCTTCAGTTCATGTGTGCTTGGTAATACATTTGGCCCAGTCAGAAAAATAGCTATATATTTTGGCAAAAGTCCAAACCTGAGTGAAATGTTTAGATATAAGAAACATTCTTTGCAAGTCTGTTAATGTGACTCCACGTTATCCTCATTCTATGAAAAAACATTTTGTAAACTTGCAAAACTAAATATTTTGACAATAACTGTTTTATTGAGAAAGACCAGGTCTCTGAAATAAATATGGAAAATCCCAATTCAGATACATTTATAACCTCTAAACATACTATTTTTAAGTAAGAACAAAAATGTTCATAACTAAAAAGGACCTAACTTCAAACAAACAAGTGGTTAAAGTCAGATAAGAATTCCTTTAACTCCTTCTGGTGTCAGCCCCTTCCTCTGTTTTTTTGCTTTTTCTGCCTCCTCAGAATGTGCCCTGTGCTACATCCTATCTGTGGGTTCAGTGCAGATGCAGACATGTTCACTCACTCACTCACTCATTTGCTCTTGCACTCATTCCAAGCCATGCACATTCACTCAGCATATACTGAGCTTTTCATATATACCCAGTATAGTCTCAAGTACCTGGGAACTGGTACTTGAGGAGGGAACAGACAGAATATAGAGAGTATCATATGGTAATATTTCATTGGCATTAGACAAATAAAATCAGAGAACATAAACAGCCCAAACCAAAGGGTGAGTGGAATGTAACAAAGGCTCCTTAAATGTCCTGCTCAAAGCACAAGATTGGTTTCAAGGTTTGGAGTATGTGAAGTATAAAGTCATTGGTAGTGGGTGACGAAGAGGGTGTGTGGTCACAGGAAATAAGGCCAGAATATTTACCCTCTCCACCTTCCGAGGAAGGACCTGTTTCATTGCAAGACGCTTATGACTGATGCTGGAGTCCCATGTTGTCCTCCTTTGAAACAGGAGAATGCCAGGTGATAGTAGAGAAGGATTTTAAGGAAAACTTTGCATAGTAAGTAAAGGATTATCTCTCAAGAAGTAGGCAAGGGGTCAGGGTTCAGACACAGGAGGAGGACGTCCCAGTAGTCAGGTAGAACAAGAGGACAGGATATCCACACCAGGGACTGACTGATGGCCCCTGCCCTGGCAATCACTTCAAACATGCAAGATGGTGCCTATTTAGGGACCTCTTCCACTCAGAAATTTTTGCTGAGCAATTCCTACTATCTCCCCTTTTGCTCAGAAAGCATCTTGGGCTTACTATGTCATCGATAGGGGTATCTCAAGAAAAAGTACAGTGTCTACCATCTCTGTCCTAGTTTCCCTTTATTATTACTGTCTTCTGAGATATTTAGTGATGTGGAGATGAGGAATGAACACATTTTGAAAAGAATGATAAATTTAAAGGAACCTGGCCTTTTCCTTTTGCTTCTAGTTCTTGGTTCAAAATTCACACAAAGGATTTTAAAATGCAATTGAAGACCAGTTCCTTCCTTTCAAAAATGGAGTTCTAATGCTGATCATAGGACCCTAAATTGCTCGTTATCATGATATCACCACCTCTGGATTTGTTAGTCTGTAGTCTCAGCTTTCCAGAGGTGACCTAGTGATTAGGAATTTAAACTGTTAGGCCTTAGAGTTTGAGGCACTATAGAAAACTTTTGAAGAATCTTAAGTGTTATTAGGAAAAATTTAAGTTTGATCTTTCATGCTAATGGAAATACACAGTTAAAGCAAAGCATAAATAACACAAAAGCCACGTGTCTTTAAATCATAGTGAGGATATGTTGAAAACTGGTGTTCAGAGTTTTGTGGAAAATCCAATAAGACAGTTACTGGGTAATCTCAAGGGAAGAATGTGCCACTACATTTCCTGGACAGGATATTCAGAGCCTTCCATAATCCGTCCCCAATCTGTCCTCTCCATTCTATCTTTCACTGGTCTGCACTCTTACAAACTTGGAAGCCATTAACTCTGTAGGTTTACTGTCCTGCACTTCTCCCCTTCTCCATCTCTCCAGTTCATCCTCAAGTTAACCTTTTCAGCAGTTAATCCCATTATGGCGGATATTATGATCCACATTTCATATTAAGATCTTTTAGGTCTTCATTAATATCTCACCTTGCTGTGTTCTTTACAAACAGGGTCTCAGCATTTGAGCTCACAGCAGGTGTTCAATGAACAGTTGAACATAAAGTACCTTGATGAGCAGTAGCTATAGCTTCATAGACTTGAAACAAAAGGAAGTGATCTGCCTACCTTAGTTTTACAGTGAACTGAATAAGGGTTTTAAGTACCATCGGCCTCTGAGGGTGGGTTGGCATGCATGGCTGTCTCTCAACCACAAATGAACTAGATGAAAAGGAAATAAAGCATGTCATTTGAAAATATCAATAGACTGAAAACTAGAAACAGGATGTTATACTCTAGCAAAGTCCTCATTTTCTATACCTAGCAGACACTCAGACCTCTGTTTGAACTCCAGTCTTTCCTATTACAAGATAGGAAAATGCCCTAATTAGCAACAGTAAATACTTCTTTAATTGTTATACTTAAGTCATTAATAAAGGTCCATTTTCATCATGTTAAACATAAACTAGAGAGTCAATTTCATGCCATTTTTTTGACTGGATATTAGGATTTCTAATACATATTAGCATTTTTTTCATCAGTGCATTTCCCAGATATGCACTTAAGAAGAAACCCTTGAAATCTGTCCTAAAATGTGAAGACTGAGCTGCAGGTTGGATGATGTAGGTTAGCTCATGGAAAACCAAGTCAGCCGGAAGGAGAAGTATTGATGAAAAATAGTGAAGAGTAGAAATGTAATTTTTTGAACTTTCTGGAGGATCTATTCACTTCTTCTTTGCCATTCCTTCACTTAAACATCATAACCTCAGGTAGGGTGTCCTTATAACTTGACAGAGTTGAAGTTGCCATGGACTAAACATTGAGAACCACTTCACTTACTTCTTGAAAAGGTTGTAGATCAGGAAGGTGACTCTTTCTAGCAGGTGTGTTCTTTGCACTGGGATAGGATCACCTTCATATGTCATTTTGGTAGACTGCTCCTCTAATTTCTCCAATTGCCTTCTGAGTTGAAAAAGACTTTCTGCCAGCAGGGTAAAGCTATTGAATAGCAAATGATAGTTTTTATGCTTAATGATTGAGCTTTTTAACAATAGATCATATTTCACAAATAATAACTTATTAAGCAATTATTAAATTAATTAAATGAACCACCTTAGTTCAATTAAGGCTAGTGACAATTTTCCTAAACCCATTCCTTTTTGAATATGCATTATATATGTTAAATATATATGTTTTTATTTATACTTTCAATTATAAATATCATTTATGCAATCTTGTCACTATCTGGAATCAAATCCCTTTTAATTAGCCTTCATTTAAGCCTTTTACGCATATATGTTGAGAATGTGGCACTCATTAAAAACCAAAGAAAGAATAAATTTAAACCTATAAAATATATTACATGAAGAAAGTTATATGTGTGCACACTGAAGACAGAAATGTAAAATTGGCCCTCCCCCTATAGGTGTATATCTAAGTATTAGCTACAAATGATCAATGACTCCCTCTGACAAAAGGAACACGGTGTTATTTTAGAAATGCTTGCTTCTGATATTTGCTTGGAGTTCTACGCATTATGTGGTGATCTCCTTATAAATGGAAGTGAGGGCTTGGGCCAGAAAAATAGGGAAGAGTAAGAAAGACTGAAATCAATAAGGATCCCAACTAGAGGGGCAGAACACCTCATCACACTTGACAAGTCCACCTGGCCCTATGGCAACTCTTTTTACATAAGATTGTGGAAAGTACCTGCTAGTTTTTGGCATGGGCAGCATTGTTTTTTAAGTTCTTTATTATTTATTTTGTTCTTACAACAACAGAGTACAGTGGGATTAAAGAATCAAGAAAAACCAATATGTTTTAAGATGAGCCCAATTCCTTACTTCATAAGCAAGCCTGCTGAGCAGAGCTTTTACTGAGAGATGGTCCCCAGTTACTACATATTTCCATTGTACTAAATTGTACCCTTAGTCCATGGCTATACCACCCTGAACAAGCACAATCTCATCTAAATTGTACTCTTAGAAAGCAATCTTGAGATAGGCATGAGAGTACATGACTGTAATCCCAGCTACTTGAGAAGCAGAGACAGGAGGATTGACGGTTGAGGCCAGCCCAGGCAAAGGCATGAGAACCTATCTAGAAAAAACAAACTAAAAGCAAAAGGACTGGGAGTGTTACTCGAGGGGTAGAGCAAGGCTCTGAGTTCTGAGTTCAATCTTCAATACTGAAAAAAAAAAAGCAGTTTTGGATTTTAACTGGATATTTTTGTTTCTTGTTATATTTTCCATTTGTTTCAATCAATAGTTTTATTTTGTATTTATGATGCAGAAAACCTATCAATATTTTTATCTTTATAATGCAAAGGTAGTATCTACATGTAATTGCATGCATGCATTCATAACAGTGGATACCAGGTTGTTAGTCACTTGAGATTTTTAACCTATTTTTTTAATTGACAAAATTCATAGTATACAACACATTTTGTTACATCTATACATTATGGGATGGCTATGTAAATAACATGAAAAATGTTATATAATTATTTATTTTTTGTGAGAATGCTTAAAATCTACTTTCCAGTAATTTTCAAGTATAGAGTGTATTGTTAGCTACAGTCACTATGACATACAATAAAGCTCTGGAACTTCTTACTAACTGGCATTTTGTGTCTTTGCCAACATCCTTAACTGAATAAATGTCTATTGAAAGCACAAAACTAATGTATCTTAAGACACACACTTACAAAGTAAGATATCTGTTTTCAAGATTTTGAAGGGTGTCTTTATTATATCCTTAAAGAGAATGCATTGCTGGTTTCAAAAATTCGTTTTGAGTCTTTTAAGAATGATATATTGTATGTAAAAATCAAGTAATTCTTATGTGTTCTATAGATGCTTCATTTTCCTTCCCAATGGAGTGAAAATTAAGAACACGTGTACAATTTCATCTCCACATTCAACTGTAAAGTTCCCACTTGCTAATAAGCCATCGATATGCTCAATGTAAACCTTCATTCTCTGGCTGAGTATGCTGAAGTTTTGTACTTCCTGTGGTTTTCACTAGAAACTAAAGTCAATTTGCTTTACCAGTTCTGAAGCTGGTCAAGCCCATTGTGGAGTGGACCCCCAATGCAGGCGATCTGCTGCCGCCTCTTCCAGTCCTGCAGCTCTTCAATCAGCATGCTGTTCATTAGCAAGTCTGTTTCATTCACTATTTGTGTCATCTTACTGAGGGCTTCCTAAAAACAAAGATGACGATTGAAGAGATTTATATAAGAAACAATAAGACTCACTTATAATTCAACTTACTTTGAGTAAATATTTTACTAAGTACTAGCTTCTATTTGCCATAGCACTGCCTTTTCAAACCATTAAATTATGGCAAATAGATTGAGGAAAGAATGACCACAGTTTAGCATTCTCATAATATGTTTCAGTGTAAATATGCTGAATTGGTAACTTCTGTGACAGTATTGAATCATGTAGTCACAAAATCACCTATTTGAAGGATGTTTACAAATGTAATAATTTCTAACTATGATTATCCATTATTTGCAAATGTACTAACTAAAATTTGAGCCTTTCTGTGTTAGTTTTATTATGACTTTATTTGGGTTTAAGGAGGCATAATGGAGAAGCATAACTTTGGAAGGTCTAGGCATTAGAAAATATGGTTTCTGTTCTGGTTTTGCCACAAGCTATGCAAATTTGGACAAAGTATTTAGCCTTGTTGGAAGTTGTCTTTTTATCTGTATAATCAGGTGAATGGACTTATTTCCACCGTTCTTTCTCTCCTTAACATTTTATTTCTAAAGTCAAATAAGATGATGTGTAAAATGTATAGCACAGATTTATTTGCATAAGACATTAAGGTTTATCTTGGATTAATTACTTCATTCTTACAATGTTAGGGTGAAAATAAATTTTACACTTATTTGTATACATACAAATTCATGTACAAAAAATGGAACTGAACTTTTAGAAATGAGCTACTGATTCAACAGTTATTGGTTAGTTATCAATTGCAGTTACTTTCAAATTCAGCTAGAAAATTGAAGTAGAATTACTTCCCTTCTTGTATTTCATTGAGCCAAAAAAAAATTCTTCTCCTTGTGTAGAGATTAGCTTAAATATATTCTTTGCCAATAAGCTATTCTGAAATGCAGTAAATTGCTTAATACAATGTCACTTCTCAGAATAGAAAATAGACTTGTTTTTCCAATAAAAGCTCAATAGTCATCAATTAATTTTATAATTATACATGTGTAGTTAAATCCATCTTAATATAAATATAGCCACTAAAATAGCCATGTCTAAAATAGTGAAAAATAAAAATTGATCAAAATTTCCACTTTGACAGTAAATGTATGACATAAACAAGACAAACTGGTTCTAGAGACATTTAGCTTTACAGACTCACTGAGGGAAACATGGCAAATAGTCCAGTACTGTTCCTAGAAACATTGCTGCCTGCTTATTCAGTGTAAATGGAATTGGTAAAATCTAAAAAAGCTTGATTCTTTTCAGTAGGACTAAGTTTAGGAAAAGGAGGCAAGTGGCCAAATTAAAATTCTTCACTAACCTTTCTCTTGAAGTCTAGGCTGTTAAGCATTTCTTGCAGTGTCAAAACTTCCTGATTCATCAGGAGACTATTCTTGTCACCCTGATCTGCAAAGAAAAAGTGATGGGTTTGGAGTCTTCTCTAGGGCTTTCAGTAGTCTTTCAGAGTCCTGAAAGCCAAGTCTGCCTCAAGCTGCCCTAAACCAGCCCTGGACAGGAGGAGGGGGCTAGGCTGAACATGGACCACTAGAATTGAGCTTGGAAGTTCAGTGCAAGAATGTGCTCATTTTGCCAGGAGGAATTCCATCCAGACATGTGGAAGAGGACCTCTTTATCTTATAGACCATAAGGAAAGTTCTTCACTCAGTATTCTTTTTTTGGTGGGAGAGTGGGATGAAATTAAAAGAAAGTTTTTGTAATGGGCTTTGGCTAGCTCTGCATTAAATATAACCTCGGTTATTTGGTTTAAGAAAGAAATGAAGGGGGCTTCCCTTTGTGGCCACGGTTAAAGTCTATTTGACTCACTTGGTTGCCTTTACTCAGCCCCCACTACTCTACTCATTCTCCAAGTTACTGCCTGGTAGAGTTAGTTTTATCTATTTACTCGCAAGAGCTAATGAAGACTAAATTCCTTACTTTCTCTTTTTCTTTGCAAAATGGGCTAGCATCATAGTAAAACTAGAAGTGGGAAAGAGTGGCCAATTAAGAAAAATATCTATAGAGGGTGTTAATCTGATTAAAGTGCAGTATATACATGTGAAAATACCAAGGTAAAACCCCCTTGGCCAATATACACTTAAAAAAATGAAAGACAGGAAGGTAAAACAGGTTCTGTTGGGGGTGGGCACCACTGGAAGGGGGAGAGGGTAAATGGAGGTAAAGGAGTGTGAATATGGTTGATGTATCTTGTATATGTGAATGAAAATAGAACAATGAAACCTACTGAAATTTTTCTAAGAAGTGGGGAAGTACTGAGGGAAAATGATGGAGGGATGAATCTAATTAATATATATTGTAAGCACATATGTAAATGTCACAATAAATCCTCCCATAAAACTATTGTATGCTAATAAATAAATAAGAAAAAGAGAACAAAGAAAAATACCTAAGACAAAATAACACTCCCCCAATATTCTTGAAATAGGGAGATATGCGATAAACAAACATTGTTTAAATTAATAAATTAAACTTTATTGAAGTGTAGGAAGTAATTAACATCAATAAAAATGAGAGTTGATCTGACTTGGGTAATTGTGAAAATTAAGGCAAATTTCTCTATAAAACAGAACCACATGGTGGCAAATTTCTCTACAAAATAGCATTGATCTCCATGATCTCTTTCCTGGTTGTGATAATTCACAAATTCACTAAGCTTTAGGTGAACGATCATATGTAGCAAGATCATACATATGTAGCATTTTATGAACTGAAAACCTCACTAGCTAATACTTTCCAGTCTTCTTTATAATTTGTTTCCCTCGTTATCTTTCATTTCACTTATAATAAATAGAGTGGGACAAACAAAATAAATATGTTTTGATTTAAATGATAAAAATGATCACTTCTTGCTCTTTATAACGTACATGTAACACTGGAAAACACTAAATGATTCAAATCATAATATGGCAAGTTCAAAATAATTTTATTGCTTAATGTACTTTTGTTATATTTTAATTCTTAAAATTGGAAATTCATATAAGTTTACACATGGATGATTCAATGAACTGTAATGCTTGGTTAAATTTATGGTAGTTTTAAGGTCTTTTAAGATCCTGGATCCCTTTGAAAAACTGATCAATCTCATGTTTGTGCCATTTCTTTTAAAGGGAAAATTTATACATTGAAATAATCATAAACATTTTGAATAACAGTTAATGAGAGACAAGACATCCTGAAGATGCCAGGAGAAGAACACAAAACATTGCACTCTTTACTTATGAAAGTTAAACATTTGATCACAATTATCCAGACTTCCTTTATGATGCATTTCAAGCTAACATTTTAATATTTAAAGGTGATTTTGTAAATTAAAGGTTTATATTTGATCTGTTTTTTGAAATTTTAAAATAATTCAAAAAATTTCCAAAAATAGCACAGAGCTCCCATATAACCCTAATCCAACTTCCTCTGTTGCCTGATGCAAGCATAGTAAGTGCTCAAAATCAGTAAATTCCTATGGGTACAAGCCTATCAACCAATCTAGATCTAATTATAATTTGAACTGTTTTCCCAAAAATTACAGTACACTTTTCTCACTTGTAAATCCTAGGTTTTGTGAATATTTCATTTTCCCCTTCCATCTCTTATTGTAAACAACTTCATTGTTTAAAGAGTGTCAAATAAATTTCGATGTCATTATATTTTGACATTTATACAATTATTGAAATTATCTTTTTGAAGACTTTTGATATGAAGTTTTGATAAAACTTCAGTTTAAATGTAGTTCACAAAATTATATACAAGATATCTCATTTAAAAAAATAAATACATAAATATAAATGTATGTGAACATACAGAGAAAACGCTGGAAGAAAATACATTTTGTCAGTTTATCTGTAGATTGAACAATTTCATGTGAATTTTATTTTTTACTGCTTTTGCTTATTTTCTTCATGAAGTATGTTTCTCCTTTACAATTCTAGAAAACTATAGTTTTAAACAACTTACCTACAGATGATATTAGTAATTTCCTGATCATATTAGGCAATTATTTTTACTTTTATCAGTTGTGATGATGACATTTTGAGTCTTTAGGAGGACGTTCTTATTTTGGGGACATGCTTGGGGTGATTTTTTATGCAATTTATTGGATTTCTTTTATAATTTGAATTGGTTGGTAATATTTACATATATATCTATAGATAATTATATGGAGAGACACAAAGAAGCAAAAACAAATCTGCCTCACCTACATCCTCTCTTAAAAAAAAAAACAAACTTGGGGAAGTAGACTAAATTTGCTTAGCTATTTGGGAGGCTGAGATCAGGAGGATGGCATTTTGAGGCCAACCCAGGCAAATAGTTTAGGAGACCCCCATCTCCAAAATAACCAGAGAAAAATGAATTAGAAGTATGCCTCTAGTGGTAGAGTGCCTGCTTTGCAAGTGCTGAGGTCCTAAATTCGAACCCAAGTCTCCCACCAAAAACAAAAAAAGAAGAAACCCTAATAGTCATGCTGTCTTCATGTCCCTATGTAGAATTACAGACAAAACAAAAACTTACCCATTGACTGAATTGTTTTATACCTGTAGTCAAATTCATCTTGGAGGTCTTCTAAGTATTTGGTGTCTTGTTCTGTCATCTTTATAGAAGAGAAAATATACAACTCAAAGGAAAATATCAATGCATACACAGCAATAGAACAATAGTCAGAAGTGTTTTTAAATAATACACTGGTGCTTCCAGGCTCCAACAGCATCCAAAGACTATAATGACCTACATTTCTGAAGAATTAATTCATATCAAAGTTGAACCTTGGGAAAACCTGGTTGAATCTACTCTTCCAATTATCTTTTTCTTTCTGTTTGTTCAGAAATCATTCAGTGTATTATTTCTCATTTCTCAATTACTTCCAAGAGGTGCTACTCATATAATCTTATTTTTTATTAGAGAAAATGGATACTTTTGCATAATGATCACTTTTTGCTTAAATCTCCATTAATATGCTGCAGTTTATGACAATTCAGCCTAAATATTTTTTCCTACTTCTTTAAATAGACCTATGCTTGCTCCTGTTCCTATCTTTGAGATTTTAAGCTCTGTTCAAACCTGGTGATGATTTCCTGCTTAGTTATAACAGTTACAAGGTCAAGATCTGGGCTCAAGGCTTTCCATATAGTATCTTGTTTAGACCTCACACCTCTCATAAAGCACTTCTTCTCACATTTTCAGATGAAGAAACAGAGGCTTAAAGAGGCCAAGTGACTACTTTCCTAAGGGACACAGCTTTGCACTAAAGAGTTTGGGGAATGTCTGGCAGTCTTGCTCTGATGCCCACCCTTACCAAAGCTAGACATACTGCTTCCTAGATTTCAAACTACTTCCCCTTTCTTCTTAGAAAGCTGAAATTTCTACTACTTACATGTCTTCTGTAAGGAAACATATATCTTCCCCTCCCCACAATCCTTTCTCCACAAATTCTACATTTTAGTCAGCTGAATTACTGGTTAAGAAAAGAATTAAATTTTGAATCAAGGAGTCAGAATTTGTGTTCCAACTCTGTGACTTATTAAGCTGTATGAACCTAAGCAAATCTCTTTACATTTCCATCTAGAAGAAGGGGTGAGATGAGGGAGGGAGAAAGAGGATAACTGTATCTACCTCATGGAGTTGTCAAGATTAAAACAGAGTCTGAGACCAAATATACACTTTATAAGCATTAGCTGTGATGACTCTTCTCCCTGTTAGCCCATTCTCTCAAATGAGTTTGCTGATATTTATAGATCTTAGAAAATTACCAAAGTAGTAGCTATTGACTACACAGCCTGTTATCTACACAACAGCTAAATTTTTAGCAGCTTTTGCCATGCTTATGGCTCACGTACACTATCCTTTCAGCAACCTGCAAAGTAAGTTATTTCCATTTTTCACATGAAGAAATTCAAGCTCAAAGTCATAGAGTAATACATACTCAAGCCAGAACTGAAATCCAATCTAGTCTAACTTCAAAGACTTCACTTTTTTCACTATACTTCAATTCTACTTGCAGCATTTCACTTGAATGTAGCATTTCTCAGTAGCAAAGACCTGTGGAAGGAAGGCTACCAACACTAAAAGACAGGGAACCCATGTGTCTAGAAAAATGTAGCAAATAAAATTCGGCAGTTTTAAAGTAGAGATACACAGGGGTTCCATATTTTGATCTTGAAATTAATTAAAAGCTAAAAGAAAGCAATATCTAGCAGAATTTTCAAATGAAAATGAATGCACTGTCTATTAAACCACAACTCTGAAAAGTCAATGCTAAAGTAATTAAAAGGCTTTCAGATATTGGTATTGTTACCAACGATTGCAAAATGTGGAAACACCCAGCAATGACCTGCAAAATTTCTCTTAATTGTCCTTACAGGAGTGTCACACTCTACAACATGACACAGCAAGTCTGAGGTTATGGCCTAAGTGGGGAAGAACATTGGTGGACAGGCTCTGCTTTGCCAACATGTCAAGCCTAGGGCTTACTGGAATCAGAGCCTGGGATCAGAATTGGGCTTCTGGGGTTTGTTGAACAACTGTTCTCAGGAGAAAGGTCATGTAGGAGAGGAATAAGGAAGGGGAGGGGGCTAGAAGAATGCCTGGGGCCTGCACTGTGTTCTAACGTCAGGTGGGTTCTCTGAGGAACACAGGAGCAGTACCTGTGTTCCAACTTGAAGCAACGGGTCTGGCTGTTTCTCCCATACCTTGCCATTCGGTCACTGTCTGAAGGCCTCTCGAGGCAACTCCAGAGAAGCCCTTAGCAGCCAACACTCACAGCAGTTAGGGATGATATATAGGCCTAGGGAAGGCATCAGTTGAGGCTCCAAAAAGTGGACCTTTGTTGCACCATCCTTAGGAATTAAAAGGAATGTGGGAGCTAAAGATGTGGCTCAAGGTGGAGTGACTGCCCAGCACATGCAAGACTCTGGGCTTGGTACCCAGCACCACAAAAATAAAAGAAAGAAATTGTGTTTGATGCAAAACACGTCTGTGTACTTAATTAATGTGCTCACGTATTCTTACTGTAATAAAATAATTACCCTCTGCTCTGCACACTTGTAGAGTCAGCAGAGCCTTTCGTTTCAACATTTATAAGTGCCAAGGCATTCTGCATCCATCTTGACAGCCCAAGTCTTTGTCGCAATAGTGTGAGCAGAGATTTCCATGTACCCATTTTACTTATTATGGAGGATCACTAAATCAGAACTTCTGGAAGTAAACACTTAGAAATTATAAGCAGAAGCCCTCTGCTTACTATTCAGACAATGTATGAGGTAGTTTATAGTTTAATTTTGTGGAATTATTACTTTTGAAAAAGACAAGGAAATGAATGCTCTGTAAGTTTTGAAACGGAAAATTAACATTCTATTTTATACACAACATAGTGGAAAGTTAGTCTTACTTTGAAATTTTTTTATAGCTCAGTGAAATGAGTAAGTCTCTAACCACTGGTTGGAGGCAAAAAGAAAACAAGATCCACCAATATTGAATGAAAAGAGTGACATTGTTACAGACTCTACAGATAGTCAAAGAATAATAAGGGACTGTTACACACAATTTTACGTCAAAAAAGATAACTTGGATGAAATGACACATTTTTCAAAAAATGTGAATTACAAAAGCTCATTCAAGAAGAAATAGATAATCTGATAGCTTTATCAGAGAAGTTCAAATGGAATTGAAAGCTTTCTACAGAGAAATCTTCTCTATGCAAACATAGTGTTTTACATGAGAGATATTTATCTTCCTAACAAACTGTTCTATGATTTCTACATATACTAACTGGGCCTGCAGCAGAGAGGCACACAGTTAACTGTCAGGGAACAGTAGCTGGCTTTCTAGGTTTCTAGTTATCTACACAGATCACTCACCTGCACACTGTTTTTAATTGCAGCCACTTTATGCTCCACATTTCTCTGTCTTTCTGAAACTGAAGAACTTTGTAAGGATTTCTCCAGAGGTCCCTGGAAAAAAAAATCTATTAATAAAATAGGTTTATGATATATATAATATACTGTGATCTGAGGTTTGGATCAGTGTAATACAGAACGTGCCAGAGTCATTGAAAATTATGCCACAAGGGCTAGGAGTGTAGCTTTATGTTGGAGTCTGTGCTCAGCAGGTGCAAGGACCTGGGTTTGAGTCCCTGCACAAAAAATTCATGCTACAGAAAATATTTAATGACATAATATAACTACGTTAAAGTTTAAGGAACTAAGCAAAATTATAAAAGCACTATATATATATATATATATACATATATATATATATATATTTGAGACCTCTATTGCTTATATATAGGTATATGTGTGCATATATTTGTAAATACATTGGATATATATATTGACATGCAAGCTCAAGTACATATGAATGGAAGAACACACACCAAAATGTTATCAGTGTGTTATCTCTGAACAGTAAAATTGTAGATGATCTTATGATTTTTTAAATGTTATGAATTTTCTATAAGTAGATCTATATTACTTTTGAGATTCTATCAAACCAATACATGTAATTTGAAAATTGGTATAATAAAATTGCATTAAGTTGGATCTAAATTCACAATTGAGGAGTTGACCCTGCTGGGATGAGATTTATTTTTACTCACAACAAAGGGAGTTTACTAAAGAAAATGTAAAATGTTAGTTTGGTTAAGCAGAAAGGCCAACTAGCTTCTCCAAACACCACTTCTTGGTCACTCTAACAATTTGACATTGAGTGTGATCCGTAAATAAGTTCTACAGATAGCTAGAGATAAGAGTGAGGCATGTATCAGCCTCCTCATCTTACAGTTAAGTGGGGAACGATGGTTAGAAAGGTTGATGACTTGACTAAAATCCACAGCCAATCAGTGGCGGAACCTCAAGGGGAACCCATGTCCTTGATCTCTATCAAATGTTTTTCAGCAGCACCACATTCTTTTGTCTTTACAAAATTCCCTTTCTCTCATTTTGGTCTCCATTATTTATCTACCTAGTTGTAATTTCAAAAACAGTGCTTCTTTCACAGTAGTATGTGCTACTAGATTATTTTCAGTGACTTTGATGAGCATGTACTCAAGCAAGTGTTTCAATTTGACATTTGAAAGGAACAACACAAACATACACACACAGATGACTGGAGATGAGAGGAGAACCAAAAAGGACAACTGAAATATGTAAGAGAATATTATGTATTAATGGTAGTGTCTTAGTTGTTACTCAAAAGGCATTGAATGAATCTATATGTACTTTAGAAACTTACTACAATTTTTAAATTAAATAAAAATGATACCATTCTTTATCACTTAAACATCAAAGTCGTCCAGAAACAGCCTTAAACTAACAATAACCAAGGCTGAGATTTTTTTGGGGGGATAGGGGTGGGACTAGGGTTTGAACTCATGGCTTTGCACTTACAAAGAAGACTGAGAATTTCTAATAGCTAAAAATATACTTTTGTTAGCCCTTCAAAAATAAAATATGGTGGTAAGATTTATTCAATTATGAATGATATTATTTGGAAACTTCATTTTTTTACATATTCTTTTCTTTTTGTAAGGAGTAACTGAAAAAATATTCCTTTAACTGTCTTTGATGGAGGTTCTGAACTCATTCAGGGTAGTGGGATAAAATGTAATCTAAAATGTCAGGGCAAAGTATTTTCAAACAATCAATAAGCAAATATTTATGGAGTTTCTGTAAATCAAAATTCCAATGGGTGAACTAGTTTGGACTTGTGCAGTACGAAATTTGAAGATACCAAACGGCTGGGACAAGATCATTTTGTGAAGATAAATTTACGGAGGGAAGCAGAATCCAAATACTAATTAGGAACTCAGCTAAAATGTGGTCACTATATTCCTAAATTAATATGTAAGATCCTGAACCAGAACACAGCCAGCAGAAGCAGAAAGGAATGTACAGATAAGAGCCTAGAAACAAACTCTGGAAAGACTTGTGTAATGATCTCAATACGGAGGACAGATGAGAACTACTCAAAGATGATCTTAAGAGCTTCAATACAAGTGTCTAGAAGAATGGCTGAACTACTACGTAGGTAAGAAGAAGATAATTCTTCTGTTACAGAAAAATTGAGCTCAATGTGATAACAAGATCATGAGTTCAGAAAATATTACCTGGACAGGCATGTTGGCTGCAGCCAATATTCTCCTCTCTTCTCTTAAACAATTTGAAATAACCACAGCTACGTGCATTGGATTTCCATGAAACTTTCCCTGAAAAGGAGTGAGCAAAAACAGAGTAAGAAGTTAAATATATGCATCACATGGAAAATTACTCCCTGAAAATCAACAATAATCACCCAATAAGTATGTAAATTGTTTGGAATTCGTTCCAATGATCCAGTCCATATAAAGCCACAGATACTTGTATTGCAAACTTAGCCCCTTAACAAGAGGATATTGCTCTTTTGCTTGCAAAAGTCTTTTTTAACAATTAACAATTGTTCTTGAGCGCCTCTTCTAAGAAAGACCCTGAACACTCTCTAGAGGGTCAACTCCCCTAGGCAGATTTTAGATACAGGCATTACCTCACGATGAATTATGAACTAGCTAGTCCCCCTGCCATACACTTCTTAACTCTGCCCTTCATACTTAACGCATCTGTTATGGTTGCTAGCTGGTGGTATTCGTGTTGACTAGCTCATACTATATTAGACTATTCAAGTTAAACTATAGTTACATGTCAGCAAAATTATGACATCTAAGCATACGTATCTTTTATTGCCAAGTTTCAAGGTGCAGCTATTGCTAACTGGCTGCCTCTGGGCCTAATTCAACCATATTGTGTAAATTAAAATACTGAAATTCCCATGGCAATCATGTATCACACCACAGTTGCCATAGTGCCCACCAGTGAGGGTCCCACACTCATCTACTTTACTGCAAAGTGCTCTACAAGTCAGTTTTCTAGCCTTGACTTACATGACTAACTAGAACATCACCATCCTTTCAGTCAGCAGTATTAACCTTCTTTACTACATTTTCTCCGAGACAAATTCAGCAGGAGAACCGGTAGACTAGACAATCACATTGTTTTCCTTTGCATGTTTTTATTTGTATGGGTATTGATACCCACGCAATAACCAAATGGCCAATAGCAGAAAAAATAAAGTACAATCCACAAAGTGGAAAATTAACAATTGATCAAAGGTAGATTATATAGATGAGTAAACCCAAGGATCTTTCTAGGAAAAAAAAATCTGGGGCTAGTGGTTGTAAGCATTTGTATGATTGTGACTGCTGCCTGCCACTATTTTATCAGATGGTGCTTGTTGTTCCACACTTTCATTTGGAAAGTAAATGCCAGTTATTCGGACTCTTCCATTCTGCAGTCTTTACAATGCATTTCTCCCCTTTAAATCAGAACTCTTCAAGTGAAAAGAAAAATGAATTGGCAAACTAGAAAGTAAAGAAATGAAAATGGTCCTATTTATTAAGCAGGGATCCCACATTTCTACATGTCAACAATTTCAGAATCTCTATATTAGAATATATTCTTGTTGTTAATTTTGTCATCTATTGATTTTTTTCTCTATAACTTGCATCTAACTCCCCAAGAAATGCTATGATTTCTCATCTTGCTTTCAATTTATTTAAAAAGTATTCCATTGTTATACAGAAATGCTTTTGCCAGGACTAATTTGATGGCTCTGTTATTAATAAACTTGAAAACATGTCCTATGTAAGGTTAGGAGCTCCTCTAACACCTTAAGAATTCCCAGCATTCTTGCTGTGATGGAACATTGCCTTATCATTCAGATGCTGTCTTTCTACACTCTCAGCTTTGTTGAACACTTTTGCATTTTCCTTTCTTACTTAAACTCCTTTTACCTTCTTGTAAGTTTAGATTACTCATTTTTTCTCCTATGTTAAGAGTCAGGAATCAACACTATTTTCAACCAGGATAGCTTTTCACTTTTTTTTTATTTCTTATTTTTCCCTAACTTAGTGCCTCACTTAGATATATGAGTCAAAAACATCTAATGGAAAACTGATCACTATAGACTCAATAACAAGTTAACATTTTATTTTCCTAAGTATCAAAGATGTACTCGAATTCACCTTTTAGTAGTTACTAAGTATATGGACCTCAGAACAACAAAACAACCCTCAGTGTGTTTTGATGGGAAGAAGGAAATAAAAGGAAGTCAGAGAAAGAGAAACTGCCCACTTCTACTGTGTGCTAGATTCTCTTGTGCATAGGTGTTGAAAGAATTTTTTACCATCTGCTTGTCCTCCACTGTCCCCCAGTGTAAATGAACAGATTTTAATTGTAGTGAAGTCAGATTTAATTCATCATTTCCTCTATGACTAGTGTTTTGTTTGTTTGTTTGTTTTTGCCATGTGTTTGAGAAATCTTTCCCTAAAAGGCAATCATGGAGATTTTTCCTGTGTTATCTTTTTAAGTCTTTGTGGTTTTTTGTTAATTGTAATTCAATTGGAGCTTTTTAGTAAGGAGATTTTCCTTTCACTTTTCTCCATACAGATATACAGTTCTAACAATGTTAATTCAGCATCCTCTTCTTTCCTCCCTGCTCTGCTGGGCCAACTTAGTTAGAAACCCAGTGTCCATATGTAGATGAGCTTGTTTCTGGACTCCATTCCATCTTAGGGGGCTATCTCTGCTTCACAACAGATTATTTTTATCACTAAAGCTTTATATTAAGTGTAATACTAAGTAGAATAGGTTTTCTTTACATTTCCATATATTGGAATCAGCTTGTTAAGTTACACACACACACACATTGATATACACACACATGCAAACACAATGCAAACACACACACACACTCAGACTTATTTGAGAGTTTCAAGGGTTCTAAATCTTTAAATAGACTTTAGAGAGACTTGTCGTGTTTATAACTTTGTTCTAATCCAATTATTTAGACTTTTGTAATGTCTCTCTATTAAACATAATTTTCCACATATACATCTGAAACATCTTTTGTTGGGGTCATTTCTAGTAGTTGGTATTTTCAGTACTAGGATAAATGATTACTTTCTTGTTTTTTGCTGATGTAGAGAAATATAATTAATTTTTTATGTTGATTTTTGAATCTAACAAATTGTTAAACTCATCAATTCCAATAATATATTTTTCTTTTCTTTTTTATATAGCATTTAAAATTTTTGCTTTTATTAGCATGTATTATTTCTATAAAGGGGTTTCACTGTGATATTTCCATATATGCATATAGTGTACTTTGATCAAATTCATCCCCTCTATTACTTTCTTATCTCCTCTCTGCCCCCTTTTTAAACAATATTAGTTTCATTATTCTACTTTCATACATGCATATGAAGTACTTCAAGCATAACTTTCCCCTCTTCATTCTCTCCTTTCACCCTCTCCCCTCCCTGTGGTTTCCACCCCCAAATAGTCCCTCTCTCCCTACTCCCATTTTACACTTATGTCACTCATTTAGTTAGGTCTAGAATCTGCATATGAGAACATATGATATTTGTCTTTCTCAGACACAAAACATGATTTCCAATTCTGTTCATTTTTCCTGCAAATAACATAATTTCTTTCCTCTTTATGACTGAATAATACTCTATTATGCATATAGAGAGAGAATTTTCTTTTTCTACTCATTGGTTGTTGGACACCTAGGCTGATTCCATAGTTTGGCTATTGTGAATAGTGTTCCCATAAACATGGGTGTGCAGGTGTCTTCATTGCATTCCAATAATGTATCTGTAATATTTGCTATCATGGATTTTCTGCACACACTAATCATATCTTATGTAATATGGATAGTTTTCCTTTCTTTCAACTAATTTCCATAGGATTTTACTTTTGTTCTAAGACTTACTTAGAAATGTACTAATTAGTTTCTAAACTTAAGAGTTTTCTCCTACTTAAAAAAAACTAATTTCTAACATATTTTAATTTTGATCAAAATACAAGTTCTGAAGGACTTATCATTTTTAAGTTTGTGAGACTTGCTTTGTGGTACAGCACATGGGGATTTTGTAGAAGTTCCATGGTAACTTGTAAAGAATATGTATTCTGTAGTTGTTGGATGAAAATACTTTGTGTAGTTTCATTAAACCAAAACTGTTCAATGTTTTTGCTTAAATTTCTGCATCCTTGTTGGTTTTTTGCCTTATCAGTGTTATCAGTTATTGAAAGAATTATGTGACTCTTTCCACTTGAGCTTTTGTTAGACACATTTAGACTTGCAATGTTTTACTCATGAGTAAAATCTTTCATTACTATGAACTGACCTTTATCTCTAGTAATGCTTTCTACCTTGCAGCAAAAATACAAACTATGACATAACGTTTTTTAATCACTTAGAATTTTTTATCTTATTGAGAGAACTCTTTCAACTTATTTCAACATCAATAGATATTTAATAATGGATCCAGATTGTGCATATATAAAATGAGAAATATACATGAAATAAATTGGTTCATGTATTCCTATAACATCTTTTTTAGAATTACTTTTCTGAATCTCTTTTAAAATCAGATTCATTGCCTTTCACATTTTCCATAAAATAATGTTTTGTGAGCCATCAGGAATGTCAGCCATGTATCACTTCTTTAGCATATACCAAACTATTATCTCCATTCTGTAAGCTTTGATGCTGGTACTTTAGCTTACCAGAAGTTCTCATTAGAAGGTTTTCAGACAAGAACCAGAACTCACATTCCCTCTGAAATGGTTCTCATGGTATGCCAACTCATGAGGGGGTCCTCATTGAGGGGTTGTAGTGGTCTAGTTATACTATCGTGGTTAGCAAACTTATCATTATACATTTAAAAGAAATTATTATGAGAAGTAGGATACATTCCCAGAAGTCAATTCCAAAAGACATCTGATCAGTCTTCCATCAGCTTAGCCATGATCTGTCTTCTATCATAGTTTACTTCCAACAACATCTTTGAAGATGTTCATTCTTAAGATGGTTTTGTAGCTTAAAATCAAATATGGTGGTAACTCCAGTAATCAGGAGTTAGACATAAGATCACAGTGATATGCTGCTTTTCATAAATTGAACTCATAATATTGATCCTTAAAAGATTTTTTGGATCCCTAGCACTGCAAATAAACAAACAAAAGAAAAACCAAACTTTTTTTTTTGCTCTGACAGTGTAATTTTAAGTCTTTCCATGGCAAACCACCCTCCCATCCTCTAGCATTACCTAATTTGATTAAACACATATTTTCACTTTTCCTCAATGGATCATGCTGTAAGTTCAAT